ACTGTGCATTCGCAGCAAACCAATATTTCCATTTACTTGGCTTAATTTCTACAAACATATTCCCTGAAAATGGTCATTGTTTCCTACATAAATAACAATAAGTTAATTTTAATATGAGTACCTAGGTTTGCTGCTACAGGGAAGGTAGGTGTGTTTTTGTTGAAATGTGGACAGCTTAGTATGATTGTTATTGGTTTGCAAATCCTAATTGCTCGAATTCGAGCAACATGTACACTAGTACAAATTATTCATCAGTTTAAGTAAACACAAACTTTTCCTCATAAGAAATACATAGGGATTTTTATGACCTGTGGGTAAAGCCCAAAGACTTGTATTACAGGAATTGGTGAAAGGGGGCGTCTACACAAAAAATACTTTATTTTGACACTTCGTTTGTAAAATTCCGTCCATTATTAACGGAGGAGTAGTGTTTCGTAGAAATCGCCTTCATGTATTATATATAAGGACTAGCCAGTAAAAATACATTAAACATACCAATTAGCCAGTTTTGCTGTGACATACTAAAATAGCCAGTTTCGCAACAACCATTATTATAAAAAACCAATTTTGCTTCGGCAAACAAAAAAGGGTAAAAAGGATTTTAAAATAAAAACATAGTTTGACACACAAAACCTTTTAATAAAGTTCTTAACTTCATAGATTAGCATGACGTGAAACAATTATTTTAAAGGCAAGAAAGTTGTCGTAGTTTTAAATGGGATTATCAGTGCTTTTAGTAGTAATGTCATAGTCTTAAAATTGCAAACAACCAGGTCAACTTTTTCGTCAACATTTCCTTCAACATTGTCATCAACAGGTTTATTTTAATTACTAGCTGGCCCAACAGACATCATCCTGTCCTAATGTGTTTTTTTATGTCAAATGTTCGTTCATTTTCAAGATGAGTTCGTTCGCATGGCTCAATCACGTCCTGGTTGAAGTTCGTTCGCTACGCTCACTCAAATTGTTTATTTGAACCAGCTGTTAAGATTCTTTAATCCTTGTATGCAGGGTGGGGCAATGAAAGCACCCCAATTTATAAACTGTACAAACTCAATAATATTTTTTTCCTATAGATATATATAGCACATCAAAACACAGCTTATCTTTTGCCATTTTTAACCGACTTCCCCACTACCAACAAAAGGAGGAGGTTCTCAATTTGTTTGTGGCGATGTTTTTTTTTTCTATGTATGTTCACCAATTTCTCTGTGATTCTTTTACCGATCAGTGTGGTTCCACCGCCAAAATAACCAATAGAGTTTCTATTTGGTACCTTATATAAAATTATGTTTAAGTATAATATTTGTTTTGGTGAAAAGTTCTGAAAACCTTAAATATTCAAACATTATTTTGTTTACATTTGTGCAGATTGTTTACATTTGTGCAGAGAAGGCAATAAATAATAATAACATTCCTACAGCTGTTAGTTGAAACCATCTATCTATCTATCTATCTATATATTAATAGGCAAGCATGTTTCTTTAAAACCTTTTTTCTCAGCTCGTGTGCATCGTAGGGAAAATCTACGCATACCGTTGGAAAGCTATTTTCCTGTAGGTGTGCAGAATCCCTTTATAAATTTAAATAGGCTCAAAGATAAGCACAAAAAATAAGTTTAAAAGTTGTAAAAAATTAACATGGATCTTATGCGTTGCTATGCTGGTTACGGAATAACAACGAAATATAAACAGAAAATCAAAACAAATGGAGGAAACTCCAATCACATGTTTTATTTACAGTGTGGGGTGAAAATAGTTAAGTGAGTACATTACATATTTTTGGTCGAGTTTCGACCACTGGACGACCTCTAGTTTAAATGAAGCTACAGACAATTCTTCATGAAACAGTTGCTTCATATTGATCAATAAACTATTTCTTGCCATGGAGCCTAAATGAATTACATTGAGAAAAATGCATTTTGTTTTGGTTACTATAAACAAATGTATTTTAACGTTTGACCTGATTTGTGTATCCAGTAATTCTGTTTTTAGTATTGAATATTCTGACTTACAAAAACATATATATGTTTCAGTGAATAGCTGATATTGACAAATAAAGGTGTATTGTGAAAACCAAAGCATTCGTAAAACAGGTCTAAATATAAATTAAATGCAATTATTCCTTACACGACCTAAGAAGTGTGACAGTGCATAATCGTCAATTGTCTTAAAAGTGTTAAATATTTTAATTATTAAACATGCATTTGCAGATTTGGAATGTTTATTGATATTCTCTACCCAGTTAATATATCATATCAATACTATATTATACCTGCTTCGGAAAGTCCTAGAGGAGGATGATTTGCAATTTCGACTAGGCTATATCTTGATCAAACAAAACCACCCACATGGCTTGCACCACTTTTAGCTGAACCAATATTTCATATACATATTTCATTTGCAGATGTGGAATGAATATTAATATTCTCTACCCAGTTACTATAACATATCAATACTATTATGCTTGCTTCGGAAAGTCCTAGAGGAAGATGATTTGCAATTTCGACTAGGCTATATCTTGAGCAAACAAAACCCCCTACATGACCACTTTTAGCTGAACAAATCTTTCATATAATACTTTCCAAAGGTACTATACGAAAGGTACTATGGTGTTAACGACCAATTTTCCACTTTTGAGAGATTTTTTAGTGCTGGTAGCTGAGGAATAACTTTCATATTGTTCCAAAAGGCTTGAGACGTTACTGTATTTCTTTTTATAATGTAGAAGTACACCGATTGCAGGAAACGATGATGTCTGACATTTCAATGTATCTAGAAAAGACAATTAGTTTTTCATTAGGCCTAATGTCATTAGGACTATTGTGTTTATAGTCCGGTAACGTTTATGTCTTTTCAACTTAGTTTCATTATCAAATCAATATAAAATCAAACTATAGTAGGCATAATAGATTTAAGATATCATGTTAACGGACACTTAATATACAGGGTGGACCAGCTATAAAGTGTGACAATAGCTAACTGTTTAATTATAAATACCCCCGCCGCAGCAAACCTGCCGACTAAGCGAATTTCCATTTGTCTGAATTGATTTTCAGTTAAATATATTTTAATAACATTAGGATTAACGAGTACCTAGGTTTGCTGCTACAAGAAAACTAATAAAGTGTGTTTTTGAGTAAAATATTGATAGCTTAGTACAAAATAAATAAATTTTCCAAGTTTGATTAAAATATATCCATAAACAAGCAAACTACAACATTTGACAATATTCTCCATAAGAATAACATGGGAATTTTAAATTTACAATTTTTTTAATTTTCTCCGTTACTAATAATCGAACAAAAATGCTTTTATATACTAAATTATTTGTTTTTTTAAGCTCTTTAAAAAGGTCTAAAGAGAAATCGAGAAATTTTGTGTTTTGAGGGTCAAAAGTGAGAAAAACCAATTATTACCCCATAAAACCCCCCGTAAAGCCCCGTTCCCATGGTCCGATCGTGCTGGTTCGCGAACTCATTCAAGTTTATCCCGCTTTACACCTTTAATCCAAATTTCATCAAAATCGGACAAAAATTACTCAAGTTATCGCGTTCACGGACGTATATATATATATATACTAGCTGTACCCGCGGGCTTCGCCCCGTTTAACTTCATAAGTATTCACATGGCTCATTCACGTCCTGGTTAAAGTTCGTTCGCTACGCTCACTCACCTTTAGGTTGGAGCTCGTTCGCTTCGCTCACTTGCCTTCAGGTTAGCTCGTTCGCTACGCTAACTCGCCTCCAGGTTGAAGTTCGTTCGCTACGCTCACTCACCTTTTGGTTGGAAATTAGCTGTTGTCATAAATTAAAAAAAAATAATAGTGCTGCACCCTGTTGGTAATCCTTGTAACTATTATGCTATTGCACATCATAGAACAGAACCAACTTGTTTAATTGAAACAGCTGTTAAGATTCATTAATTCCTTTTAAATATGAAAAATCATAAGATTAACATGGGGAACTACAGAGCCACTGGGGCGGAGCCCGAAAGGGTTTTTGAGATAAGAATATGCTTTGATGTTAATCGGGAATGTGAGCTATCATCATGCCAAATTTCAGCTTAATCCGTCCAGTAGTTTATGCGTGATTGAGCAACAAACACACACACAAACACACACACAAACATACACACAAACATACACACAAACTCACAAACTTTCAGATTTATAATATTAGTAAGATATATAAGTCTATATATATATATATATATTATTAAGCAAATCAAAATACCACAGTACCCTAGAAACATTTTATTTTATATTACTTACATGTTTCGGACATTAATGCCATGATCACAGTATAGTATATAACCTATTAGTTTCTTTTATTTACAAACATTATTAGATATTTCTTATTAAAGAACAGGTGATAATTTTTATATTAAGGGAAGGAGGTGTTTTCTTTAAGATGTATAATTTCATTGAATATTACGTTTTGATTTTGAATTTGTGTCAAGTTTAGTAAATTGTCTTTGTCATTAATATGGTGAGTATAAATATAAAAGTCTTCCTTTGTATTCATTTTTTCTCCTTTATTTTCAATATCCAGAATGTGCATGTTTTTATTCATTTCTGAGTATGTATGGTCGGTCTGAAGTATATGTTCGGCGTATGAGGATTTTTGTGTTGTCATATTGTTTGATCTGATTGCCTGTATATGCTCTTTGTATCTGACTTCAAATGTTCGACCAGAAATCAGGAATTTACAAATTATCATGTAACAACTGTGAAAAATACTATATTGGTCAAACAGGTCGAACATTTGAAGTCAGATACAAAGAGCATATACAGGCAATCAGATCAAACAATATGACAACACAAAAATCCTCATACGCCGAACATATACTTCAGACCGACCATACATACTCAGAAATGAATAAAAACATGCACATTCTGGATATTGAAAATAAAGGAGAAAAAATGAATACAAAGGAAGACTTTTATATTTATACTCACCATATTAATGACAAAGACAATTGAAGGGCACACGGGAAAAAGGGGCTCATTGCATTTTTTTAGATTTTGAGATTGGTACACAAACAAACGTAGCCATAGCAACCAAGTCCATGTAGCGTATTATTGTGTTGATATGTCTCATAGGTTAAGCGGGAAATACACGGTTTTAAATCAATACACTCGGGAAGAAGGAGCTCATTTCAAGCAATTCGTGGGAAAAAGGAGTTCATTGCAGTCCTTTCAAGCAATAAGCGAGAAGAAGGGGCTCATTGCAGTTTCTCCTGGTGGCGACAACTTGTACTACTCCCAATATCATTTACTGTAACTAGTTTGAGGTTATGTTTTTGTTCCTAATAGTGTTGTGAAGAGTGTTTTAGCAACATTTTACAAACTAATATTTGCGTAAGTTAAAAACTATGGATGAAAACGAAGATAGTAGTGATGAGCTTGTGAAAAAGTGTGGAAATGACAGCAAAAAGCGAAAGTCGTTCGGAAGAATGAAAGAAGTAAGTAAGAAAATTAAACTTATGAGTCATGAGTCAGGCCCAAACTGCCTATGCCGTCTAAAATGTTTTGAATCAGTGCCGAAAGAAACAAGGGTTGAAATACTTAAAAATTTCAACCTTCTTGAGACCCATGATTTACAAAATTCTTATCTTTGCGGCCTAATTACTGTCCTTCCAGTACGCCGTCCTACAAAAAATGAAAATGCTCGAAAATGTGATGCAGTGTATAAGTATAAGATCCGTGGTTTAATTAATGGCAAGATGACAGAACAAATCGTGTGTAAGAAAGCATTTATTGCTATACATGGCATCAGCAAGAAAAAAATTGAATATCTAGTCAGATCGTTAAAACTCGTTGGAGTGTCCCCAAAAGATAAACGAGGTAAACATAATAATAGGCCACATAAACTGACAGATGACGAAATAAACTGTGTAAAAAGTCACATATCGTCTTTTAAAGGGCGTAGCAGTCATTATGGCTTACATGACTCGAACAAACTCTATCTGCCCGAAGAGTTAAACGTTGTAAAGATGCACATGATGTTTAAGGAAAAATTTCCTACGTACAAAGTATCGTACGAATCTTACAGAAAAATCTTTTGTGAAAGCTTCAACATTGCGTTTGGATACCCTAGGACGGACACATGCAGCATTTGTGATCAGTTTACGGTAAAGGTCAGATCATTAGAATTAGAGTTAAAAAATGCTCCTGAATTTGAAAAAGCGAATATTACATTAAATATTAGGAAGTTGAACGTTGAAAATGAAGTTCACAAGCGAAAAGCTGAACAGTTTTATTCTAGGAAAAGACAAGCAAAACGACAAAGCAAGGTAGATGATAGTCTAGAGGCCATTTGTATTGATTATGGAAAGAACTTACAGGTTCCTAACATCCCTACAAACGACATATACTACAAAAGACAATTGTCCGTTTATGCATTCAATGTACATGTTTTGTCCGATGCCAGAAGTGTATTTTACATGTATCCTCAAACAGAAGGAGGCAAAGGCAGTGACGAGGTTTGTACATTCGTACACCATTTTGTTTACAACTATTTGGATGAAAATGTCAAACATTTACGCATTTTTGCTGACTCTTGTGCTGGGCAACAAAAGAACTTTACTTTCTTCAGATTTTTGTTCAATTTAGTGAACTATGAAAACAAGTTAGAATCGGTAACAGTGACGTTCCCCATTCGGGGTCATTCCTATATGGAAAATGACAAGAATATGGGACTAATAAACACCAAATCCAGAGCTGAAGTTCCTGAAGATTGGGTCAATATAGTTAAAGAATCTAGAAGAAACCCATCACATTTTGAGGTAGAGGTTGTAGATCATGAACAAATTAAAGGATGGACCAAATTCTTGGATGAAAAATATGCTACAAAGTGCCCGTTTAAATCTCGTCCAATCCGAGAGCTTCATATTGTTCGTGGTCAACATGTCCAATTCCGGAAGAGTTATTTTGGGGCATTGGAAAGTGCTTCTATCTACAAAACTGTCCCAAACAGAGGTCGTAAGAAAAAAAACCAGCCATTGCCACCAGTCAATGTTGGAAGGTCGGATGAATTCAACCTTCCTGATTCGTGCTATAAAGGTAAGCTATTAAGTTTATGCCAATCACTTAATTTAATTTTCGCCTGATCTAACCAAACCTAACCTAGGTAACCTAATCTAATCTATCGATTACAAGCATATGCCTACCCTAACTTAATCTAACCTAACCTTACATAGGCTAATATAACCCATCCCAAAGAGTAAATGAATAAATAAAAATGCTTTGTATGCATAATTATTATTATAAATAAATAAAAATGTCTAATTGTTCAAACCTATTAACCTTCTGAGTGCTCGATTAACTGCTATAGGTATGTTTGACACTTGGCGCAGACATTTACATAAATGGATATAAAAAACTCATTTTGTAGCTTAAATGTATAAAACTATATAGTTTATGAAAGAAAATAAAATGAGCGATAGAGCAATATGAAAATCACAATTTTTTCAATAGGTTTAGTGTGAGTAGGCTATAGGCTCAATTTCAGAAATACAAAAAAGATACATTATTTTAGTTTATGAAGCCTGTTACGTGATTTTGGTACAATAAATAAAAAATCAAGATAAATAGTTTGTCCAGAATTTAATGGGGGGTTAGAAAATATACATTATTATAGGTAATAAACATCAAGACACGTTTTAACAACAAAAACCCAAAACTAAGAGTCACGATCGCGAACGTTAGCAGTTGGAGGGTTTATTAATTTTATAAATTTAAGTGGCTTAACCACTATGATATATTGGATCTTTTCAGATTGTTTGCCCTTAAAAGAAGCAAAGTACAAAGACCTTCAAGACTTGAAGAAATTTTGTAGCCCATCTGCAGCCGAATACTTCGAGAAACTATTGCATGAATGATGAAGACACATTTTAACCCTATTCAGGATTTACAGTACTAGATGTTTTCTTGAGTTCTTTGGATAGTTTTGTTAATTTTATTTAAATAAAACTGTATTTCTTGATGTGTCAAATGAGTGCATGTTATTTTAACCTACCATTACCCTATCTAACCTAAAAAAACTGGGGAAATAAGAGTTCATTGCTAAAATGAGCCCTTTCTTCCCGTGCAATTTGTGTACTGAAAGCAACTTTTTTAAAATTTTAATTAAATACAATGTATAAATTAATATTTTTAACACTCTATTGCACAAAATAACAATTATGTATTTAGTAAGTCATCTACTAATTTTTTAAAGACCAAATTTAATAAAATTATTCAACTTGTAAACAGAAAACAGCTGTTCCTGAAAAATCTATAAAATGTTGATGAGCCCCTTTTTCTCGTGTACCCTTCAATTTACTAAACTCGACACAAATTCAAAATCAAAACGTAATATTCAATGAAATTATACATCTTAAAGAAAACACCTCCTTCCCTTAATATAAAAATTATCACCTGTTCTTTAATAAGAAATATCTAATAATGTTTGTAAATAAAAGAAACTAATAGGTTATATACTATACTGTGATCATGGCATTAATGTCCGAAACATGTAAGTAATATAAAATAAAATGTTTCTAGGGTACTGTGGTATTTTGATTTGCTTAATAACATTTAAAGTAGCCCTCATTGATGTATACAATAACAAAAAAAAAAAAATATATATATATATATATACATATATAAAAATTTGAACGAATGGTGTTTTTGGCCTCTGGGGACATCAAAATGAAAAAGTAAATCGGTCCCGGGTCTAGGTCTTACCGTGCCACCTACGGTAATAGCTACTTCCCTATAGGGAAATTCGCTAAAAGGGCGGTTAACTTCTTATTGGGCATTCTCCTTTATTTTTATAGGTATGTCTTTGTAGATATATTCATGATACCTAAAATAATAGCATAGATTGAACATAATCCCTTATGTTGTCCTAAGGGAGTACGTTTAATCTATGACAATAGCTTATTCCCTGTGTGGGAAATTCGTTTAAGCCGTCAGGCACGCAACAGTTCACCTATTCACCACTAGGTGTCACCGCCCTTAACTAGAGTGACCGAGTTCGCCGAGTCTCCACTAGATGTCAGTGAAACAAATACATCAAAATCCTTACCAGCATCCCAATTATTTAATAATATTAAGGTACAAAAACAATTTAACCTTCAGCTAAAAGATAAACTATCATTCTTAAATTATAAATTAAAGGACAATAGTGTAATTTAAAGACGTGGTAGTTTACTATGAGTCTTCTGTATCCGTTGACACTCGCAGGGAGTTTTGAGTTACTGGAACATGACTAGCTAAAGCGACCACTTCAAGACTAATAATTTACCCATGATGAAACTTATCATAACATTGTTTAAAAAGCCGAGAGTCGTGTCTCTTACCTGAGGCCGATGATGGGCTTATAAAAAACATCTCGTTCTGTTAATGACAATTGACAACTACTTGTTCGTAACGTTACGAACTACCAGACGTCCACAGTCCACACATCAACTTGCACTGTTACTGTATTCGTTTTTCCGTGTGCTCCGCGCTGTTGATTATGCCGTAACACCAGGTATTATCATACTAATATTATAAATGTGAAAGTTTGTGTGTTTGTTTGTTTGAAGTTCAATCACGCATTAACTACTGGTTGGATTGTGTTGAAATTTGGCATGATGATAGCTCACATTCCCGATTAACATATAGCCATATTCTTATTTCAAAAATCCTTTCGGGCTCCGCCCCAGCGGCTCTAGAGTTTCCCATGTTAACCTTATGAGTATTTATATTTAAAAGGAATTAAATAATTTTGCCAGCTGTTTCAACTACTGTACACAATTTGTTTCTATGATATTCAATAGCATTAAAAGGTTATACGGTTTACCAACAGGGTGCAGCACCAATAGTTCTTTATACATTTATGACAACTAACAGACTAACAGCTAATTTGAACCAAGCAGCAACAAAAACATGAGTGTGAGAACTTTACTTCTTTCTATTGTTTAGGTGAAGTGGTAGAACAGTATGGCTATGGTAGATGTTCTATATACTATAGTATACCGTAGATTATAGTAAACCAAATTTTCTCAAAACGTGTCCTCTCTCATTGCAAATGCAAATCACGAGCATTTAACTACAATAAGCATTGTATACCAACCCCGTACGAAGGACGGGTACTCAGCTAGTAAGTACATATAGCAATAATTAATCCTCAGTTAAAGCTGAGACTGACTAGTTTATTCTCAGCTTTACCATTGATGATGTCACTTAATTGAAAGAGCGAAACGTCTGGTCTTGTACATACAGTAATAGTGTACAGATTTGACGCAACTCACGCCGAAAAACCGAGAATATAATATCTACAAGTTTATTTTAAAGTTAGTTTATAAGTAAGTTATTTTAGGTTAAAACGTAGTCCTAACGTAGAACTTCAATTTGTGTATTGTTCCAAATAAGCTATGTGGTGGTAACATCGATATATTTTATTTATCGATGGATGGTAGTAGGAACAGAAACGGTCCAAAATAAAGCCAAGAAACAAAATAAACTAAAGGTCGTCCAGTGGTCGAAAACTCTACCAAAAATATGCAAATGTACACGCTTCTCTATTTTCACCCCACGCTGTAAATAAAACATGTGATTATAATTTCTTCCATTTTTTATGTTCTGTTTATATTTTGTTTTTATTTCATCACCAGCATAGCAACCCATAAGGCCCATGTTAATTTCTTTCAAATTTCAAATTTGTTTGTGCTTATTTATAGCCTATCTTAATTAATAGAGGTTCTGCACATCTACAGGAAAATATCTTTCTAACAGTATGCGTATAGATTTTCCCTGCGATGCACACGAGCTGAGGAAAAAGGTTTCAAAGAAACATGCTTGCCTGCCCATTAATATATATATATATTACAAGTGTTATTTCACGCATATTTTGTGCTTTCAGGTAAAACGATTGTAAGAAAAAGGTTAAAAGTATGGCAGAGTAAAACGTTTAGGAATCTGATATTTTGCGAGCTGATATTAATGCTTAAACTGCCGCGTTTAAAGTTAACTGCAGAGTATAATATATAATACTACTAACTAGTTCTGAAAGTGATTTATTTTGGGGCAAGATAGTTTTTACGAGCCAAACAAGGCCAAGTGCAGATTCCTTGATTTATTTTATTTTCTTCTCCAAAAAGTTTTGAAAGATTTCAATTTGTTTAGTTTTGTTAAGGCTTCCTCCTAACTGATAGCCCACCAACTCTTTCGCATATGCTGGCACCTATGTAATGTACACCCATTCCATCAACGACTACAATTATCTAACCTAAGCCCATTAATTAATGGTTAATTAGCGGTGTTACAGCTCGTGACACCTTAAGCGTACACTTGGTCTAGCGCGGGCAGTGCAGCCGGAAAAGACCGGACTGCAAACATTTCCGATGCCTCACGGGGTTGACTACTCTTGCGCCTTCATATGGGTCGCGAGGACATTTGATGCAACCTGCATGACGGAACATAATGTTTTCGAAATACAGTAGGTACTAACTAGTAGCGATCGGCCAAGTGCCAGCTTGAATGTCAATCATGCAACTACTGGGTCGGATTGGGCTGACATTCGGTATGGTGATAGCTCACATTCCCGATTAACACATATGTTCTTAACTCAAAAATCCTTTCGGGCTCCGCCCCAGTGGCTCTGGAGTTTCCCATGTTAACCTTATGATTATTCATATCTAAAAGGAATAAAAGAATTTTGTCAGCTTTTTCAACTACACAAGTTGGTTCTATATGATATTAAATAGCATTAAAAAGTTATAAGGTTTACCAACAGGGTGCAGCACTATTAATTCTTTTTGCATTTGTGACAACAGCTAATTTGAACCAACTAGCAACAAAAAGCTGTGATATACAATGAGAACTTTACGTGTTCAATTGTTTAGGTGCAGTCGTAGAACATTATGGCTATGGTAGATGTATTATAATATATCATACAGTAAATTAAAAGAAACAAATTTTCATTAAACCGTGTCCTCTCCCATTGAAAACGGAAAGCATTTTATAACTGCAATAAGCATTTTATACTTATACGACAACCCCGTGCGAAGGATCCCTATGCATTGCATTGCGTGCCCTATTATTTTAATTGCTTGTACGATCTCTTCGAGGCATCTTAGTAAAATTACAAATAATAATGAAACATACGATGAAAACACATGAGAATAATATATAGATGCAAATCCGATTCTGATGCCACCAGAACCACGGTGGAGTTGTGTAGTTTGTCGGCGCCCTTTGGTTGAAATGTTCGAAGAGGATGGAATTCGCCCGATGAAGCTATGTCCCCAAAATGTCACGCATTCTCAAATTGTTCAAATTCCTTCGGGAATTGCTCCTTGGTAGGACACAAAAACAAATTCTTAGCATTCTTTAAAACTAGTGGAAAACGTTAAAGAGTAGATTGTGACGATTACGGAATTCCGATAGCCAGTTATTAGTTTCAAACCCTCTTAAGATCCTCTTAAGATCTTAAGATGATGAATCATTTGACTAATATTCTCGATGTTTCGCAAATAGTGTTGAAAATAGTCAATTTGATCAAAATCTTTTACCCATTAGATCTGGCCGAGTCCGGAGATGAGTGTGAAGCATGAAACAGTTTCCGACGCACTTTCTCTAATTGTAGGTAATTAATTAATTATCCTACTTATAAATGGAATTATTATTATTTATTATTATTGTTTGTCGAAGGAGCCAAGGCCCCCCAACGACCACCCGGTACCCATAATTAAACATAACCCGGGCCCCATAGTGTCGGCTGGAGCTTGCGCACCAACCATGAACACACCATGGGTGGATGACTTAAGGTCATCAAGCTCACCGGCTGCCAAAGCAACCCTTCGGAATGAGGGTTACCCCTCAATCCTAACCAGGGACACAGGTTACTCGGTCGCACGTACACTCCAATTGGGTTCCACCAAGGCCGAAACCCTGAAGGACCATAATGGAATGCCCTGTACGCAACACAGTGCAAGCAACACTCGGGAACTATCTAATCCCTGAGGCCGAAACCCGCCATCAAAGCCAGGAGGAAGGGGACCAACCACCCATTTACACCA